CGATCGTCCACTGTGCCCCCAAAAAACGGGTGCACTAAAACCGCTCCGGTTATCCTCACACCCGACAATCCTACTTTCCCAGCCCAAGTGACCAGCGCGTGGGTTATGTTACCTCCCGCACTATCGCCGGCGACGAACACTCGTTCGAAGTCGGCGTGGTTGTTCAGCCACGACTTGGGTCCGGATCTCCCCGAGTGCGATGCGATCCACTGGAGAGCGGCCCATGAGTCTTCGTAGCAAGCGGGGATGGGTCGCTCCAGGAATAAACCATATTCCACGGAGATCGCGATGACGTTTACTTCAGCCGCCACTATAGCGACGTAGTTGTGGTACTGGCGGGAGAAGGCGGATTGCATGCAGAACCCGCCGCCATGGAGGTAGAGGAGAATGGGGATTTTCCGGGTCGGGTCGGTTATCTTGGGAAGGAAGATTCGGATAGAGACGGGAGGTTCGACGGAGACAATGGCGTCTTTCGATCAGACGTCGGTAAGTGGATCATCGGAAGGCAGGATCTTCTCAATGAGGGGTCGGAAGTCAACCACTCTGCCGTCTTTGTATACACGAAAGAAGGGAAAGTCGTGGGCTATGTCATTGTCTCTTTCAGCCATCTCGAGGTCTGTTCTCTCCGTCCCCTGGGCTTTGAACAAAGGAAGAAGTTAAAGCGGAACGCGTGTTTTGCTCGCACCCGGGCTCAATTCCATATTTCATTTAGTTGGGCACTGCGAGTTGGTCGTCAACTACCACCTCATGGATGTTAGGCGGGGGTTGAACCTCACAAAATTTTCAGTCTTGCCTTACGCCTTGGTCGAGGACGGTCTAACCAAAAAAGTATTTGGATAGAAACCATATCAAAAGTGTTTTTACAGTTTATAAAGTAAATATGTGGAGGAGTTTGTCTTGTTTTTTGGAAACATACTTTTTAAAAACACTTTTGAGAGTTGTCAAATACCCCCAAATGAGGGATGGTCTTGAAAGATACGTGCATTATTATTTGATATTTAATTTGAAAAATACTTCTTTGATCCTATTTATAAGACATTTTCAGCATGTTTCATACGAGCCAAGAAAAATCTTAAATGTCATTAACTCTTATTTAAAATTTAATGACTTTCCAACTTTATCCCTATTTAATATACATTATACCTCATATAAACAAAGTCAACACAACAATAAATGAAGGGTAAAATTGTACATCTATATAAAAAAAAATTTCAGTGTCGTATAAATAAAATCAAAAAATACCTTCTCTCTTTGCCTTATAAATAGAACCAGAGGAGTATTCTCTCTAGTTTTATAAAAACAAAATTCTTTCTAAAGGAGATAGAAAAATGCGAGAAAAAAATTACTCCTCTAGTCCTTAATATAGGACCTAATTGTTGAGTTGGTTTTGGTCTTAAATATAAGACTCATTTCTCATATTTATCAATTTTTTTTAAATTACTCTTATGAATACTCTCTCAACCATAATTAAGTAGAAGAGGGAGATGGGCTATTAAGAAAGATGATTATAGTGTTTTAAGAAAAACTGTCACATTTCTTATAATTAACTAAGAGAAAATTAATTTGCAAGTCCTTCTAGTTTATCTTAATTTTGAATCAGGTCCCTCAACTTTTTTTTTTTTTATTAGATCCTTCAACTTTTTATTGTTAAATTTGTTGGTCCTTACCGTTAGATACATATTGACGCCGTTTAAAATTTAGCATGCGCACTCAGGTTTGACCAACTCTTCTCTCATTTTCCTTGTTGCTCAACACCGTCTCCTTCCCCAACATTCTCCCCACTTGAAAATGCCTTACCATTCCTTCCCTTCCCTTAATCAAATTCACCAGGACCTCTTTATTTATTTCCATGGCTGTTGGTCTGGGCTCAACTTTCCAAACCCAACATCTCAATTTGTGAGGCGTGAAATGAAAAAGAGACAGAAGAACGACCTTACATGTGCATTCGCAACCCATGAAAAAAATCACATGTTTTTTAGGCTTGTTTGATCATCCTCCGCCTTCATTTGCGGCCCTTCTTGGCCATTACTATTGATCTAACTGAGTGGGGAGGATAAAACACTTGTTAATTAAAGGACTCTGTTTGGCTCTATTTCTAATTCAAAAAACAGAGCCATCATTGATGGTGGCTGTCATTTGAAACTTCAATAGCAATCCAATATGCTCTAACTAGCAAGCCACCACTCTGGTTTACTGCCGCATATGTGTGCTCCAAAGCCATCGTGCACCTCTTATACTCCCTATTTGATGTTGATGCTTTTATCCTCCTATTCTTTCCCTCCCCTTCATTCATCCTTTCATCTTACCTACCATTTTTAACTTTTGGATATTAACTATATATAATATACACGTAGCAAACAAAAACAAAGAAGATGCATCACTTGTGGATTGGGGTATACATGATGCACACATGGGTTAAATCCAACAAATCTTGGAATTAAGTCACCGCCACCTCTTCCTCAAAATCACAAGAGACCATTGGATTCAAGAGTCAAGGGTCTGCTAAGTTACTTTCAACCCATGTTCTCAAAATTGGAAGAATCACTTCTTGTGTGTTTGGCTCAAACATAGCTTCTAGAGCTCTACATCTCATTCAAAATCGTTCAATACTCATGTTGAAGCTAGTCTTGCGATTCACAAATAAAGATGTTGGGGCAGGGGACTTGAGCCCCAATCGACTCCATATTTTCATTTGCCGGCAGGAATAGCTAAAAAGGTCCCAATGACTATGCGATTGAGGAAATGGAAGGTGTTATGGAGAGGTAGGAAGGAATGACGAGCCATTTTCCAGCGGGGAGAATGTTGGAAAGGAGACGATGCTGAGCAACAGGGAAGAGGAAGAGAAGAGTTTGGTCAAACCTGAGCGTCTAAGCTAAATTTTTAACGGTGTTAAGATGTATTTAACCATAAGGACCAATAAATATAACAATAAAAAATTAAAGGATCCAATAAAAAGAAAAAAAAGTTGAGGGACCTGATTCAAAATCAAGATAAACTAGAGGGACCTGCAAATTAATTTTCCCATTAACTAACTTACCTAACTTTCTTAATCTCATCAAATTACTTAAATGAGTTTTATATTAAAGATTGAAGGAGTATATATTTTATTTAGGCAAAAAATCAGAATAATAAAAATATTACACAAAAGCGATAAAAAAATTTTAAAAATTGCACACCATTCAATTAAGATAGTCAAAAAAAATTTAGTTAAAAGAAGGCAGTATAAAATTGTTGTTTTGTTTCTTAAGTTTACAATAATGACAATTTTTTTAAAATAACAATTTTGTACGGTTTTTTGAATAACATTTGATTGATTTGAAGGGAGGAATAACAATTGGCCATACTTTTTAATGGCGCGTACGCTTTATTCACAAAAAGAGAGAGCGGATTAATGCAATATTTTCAGAAAGTGATAAATTATACGTCCTCCCACACTTTAAAAAGTTATCTGGTTCTTATAAGACCTCACAGACAAAACCTTGCTATAAAATAACAAGTTAGAATAAAAAATAAAAAAAAATTGTGAATCAAAAGGTGAACAAGAGAAGTGTTTTTTTTTTTTTAAGAAAAAAAGGAACGAATAGAGAGAGAGCATGCGGGAAAGGTGACAGTTTTTACGGTGTGTGATGTGAAGGTATTAAGTGTCATATGCATTTGCATTTTTTCAGCCACAGACCACATGAAAGGTCAGGATTAGGGAAATGGAGGAAAATGAACAGAAAAGAAATGGAGAGACCCTGTGCCGGTTTGCCAAGTACCAACCTTGGCATCAGTCATTGAGAAACCAACCCACGGTTATCTAAAGATTGAGCAAAAGAAAAACCAAGAATTTAAAATAATAGGAAACGGATCAAGAGGCTTTTGAAATTCGTCATTGAAAGAGAGCACTATTTCGCCGATTCCATAGCTTCCAGATGGTCACTCCCCATACAAGATCCCATTGAGCGACTCCATGCTTTCCCAAATTGCGTTTCAGATTAAGAGCTACCTAGAAAAGAAACTGGCCATAACACGAAGGTTTTAGCAACTTAACTCATAAATTACGAGCACACTGCATATTGACAATCCCGTAATCCATGTAATATATCCTCCACGTCAGCGTTGCGGTAAGTGCACATAACATAGGAGAGGCCCAACACTAAACATTCCTCCACAGATTTGCAGGTAGATTCTTGTTGAAAGCTAGCGACGTGAAAACTCTTATACGCTCCACCCCCTTCCCATTTTCATATTAGCTTGTGAGCATTGCTATAGAGATTTGAAGGGTTCTGTTCCAGAAAGTAATGAGCAATTTTCGAAGTAGAATCACCATGTGGTGTCGCACTCCAAATCATAACATCATCACCGGCTATAGGCATTGAGGGAAGTAGAGTAATAAGACGCTGAAACATATCTTGATCCACAATAATAGCTAGTTTGAAAAAATTCCTACTACCTTGGAGAGCCCAATCAGCAACTGTACTATCATTTTCCCCAGAAGATGGTGTTCTAACTTCTAAGGCACATGTCTTTAATTTTCTTTGTTTATCAGCGAAGATCCAAGTATCATTAAAGAAATTAATGAAATTAATATATACTACTTCCGCTCCGTTCTAGTCCTAATTATAAAACATCACTTACAAACAAGCTATTATAATTAGCACCGGTATTTTGGTAGTATTTATCAAAGAGAACATCTGCCCATGAACCTTTAATACTAGTCGCCAACTTAGAAGCTAATTTGGTAAGGCCGAGGTCCCATAATTTCTAGGAGGAGTCACTATCTCCCCAATAATAGGATGATATCACTTTCCTCCTTCTAGATTGAACTGCATGAATTGATGAAGGGGTTAAGAATTAAACGATGCTTTCTCGTTTGAACAGTAAGATCCACAAATCGAGTATGTCTTGAGGTCGAGCTCGAGAGAGATAAATAGCAGACTTTTCTCCCAAAACATGCGAGGGAAATAAGATCAATAAGAATAACATGGAATGTCACTAGAATGAAGCTCACGGGATGATTGGATTAACGGTGTGCTTTGAACACTTTTAAAAATCACTTTCTTCTCATATATATTTACATTGTATAGTACAAAATTACTTAAGCTAGCTCCAATAAAAAAAAATTGTTATCCGTCGATGTTAAAAAATCTTACAGGCAAAGACCCCCCGGGGGGAGGCTTGCTGATAGCACAGATTTTTGTTATGGGAATATAACTGCATATCTTTGGATTGGAATTTGATATTCTACACCCAAATATGTAGCCGCAAAGCGTGCAAATATTAAAACCCAAACGGGCAATCTAACAATAAAAACTGTGAAATACAGTAAGCCACAAAAAAGTAAAGTAGTCCAATGCTTACCGCTTTTCCTGTTTGATGAAGGAAGCAATAATGCTCAGTAAAGCCATAGCATTCTCACAAGTTGGCTTGAATATGTGGAACGCGTGGTTTTCCCCTTTCGTCTCAAACACTTCTACATCCCCCGAAAATCCATTCTTCCCCAGCAATTCTCTGTAATTCAGGGCTCTATCCCTCAACAAATCTTCCTCTGCAGCACAAATGAGCACTCTCTTACAATCTAGCCTTCCCACGTTCGGATCCTTCTCCGGGTTAACCAACGCATCGTCGCCCCCAGACGCACTCGGACTCAGAAACTTCCATAGGCGATCCAGCTTCGCCGAGTATGCAGCTTGATTCCGTTCCGACTCTGTTCGTTCTTCGCCCCAGAAAAAGGGCTGCACCAAGGCTAAAGCTTCCAGCTTTAGGCCCCGTGGTTTTTCTAACCCGACCCTAATCGCCATGTGGTGTGCTATATTAGCGCCCGCACTATCCCCGGCGAAGACAACCTTACCCAAATCGGCGTGACGATTCAGCCACTCGTCGGGGCCGCTGCCGCCTAAATGGGAAGCGACCCATTTGACGGCAGTCCATGAATCTTCATGACCCGTTGGAACCGGGTGCTCCGGCGCATTGCGGAAATTGACAGAGATGCCTATGACGTTCGCCCGAGAAGTAACGGAGTTGAGGAAGTTGTGGTAAGCTGGGGAGAAAGCGGTTTCGATGCAGAAGTTGCCGCCGTGGAAGTAAACGAGAACAGGTAATTTCTGACCCTGGTTCGTGATTTTGGGAAGGAAAATCCTGGCGGATATGGCTTCGCCTGGAGAAATCACGACGTCTTTGGATTCGACACCGGTTACGGAGTCGACGCCGGGAGGAACGGTTTCCAGGCCGGCGAGTCTCTCTACGCGGCCGTCTTTGTAGACTTTGAAAACGGGGGAGAAGTCGTAGGCTACTTGGTCAGTGTCGTGAGAGGAAACCGAAGACGGAGAATTAGAATCAGAAGAAGAACTGGAAAGCTTGAGAGAGGGGAGGCGAGGAGGAAGAGGCTTTTGTGAGAAGGAGAGAGGGAAGGAATGGCTAAGAACACCATTGATGAGTGGTTGGTTCGGCTTGATCAGCGCACAGTGATATTTGGCTTGGGTTGGTGCAGTGAACAAGACTGGGCTTACCATCTCTCGTCGGCTTTTTCCCACTAAGAAAACAGTGTAAGAATGGCGAGGGATGCAAAAAATAAAAAAAGAAAAAAAATAGAGGTTGTGCTCTAGCTGCAGTCCCGTTAATGGATTGTATTCACTTGTCAAAGGCTATAGGTTCAGTGGCCACGTCAGCAAATTCTGGGGCACCCTTCGATGCTGCAGTGATTCTCTTGAAGTAAATAATTAACTCCCAGAATAATTTTCAAGAAATATTTTATCTAAAATTTTCCAATGTGACTAACTTTTTTGGTAGATGAATATTAGATAACATTTATTTTCTGAGTCTACTATTTTATGATGACTATTGATCAATATTCAAATTATTCAGATAAAATTGACGCCCATGGTATAATTATAAATATTATTATAAGTGGGGATAAATATATTTCTATCTTTTGTTTAAAGGCAGAATAAAAATCTTAATTTCAAATATTAAAATTTTCGGATGTAATTAATTACTAACTAGTGGGGAGCATAAGGATAAAGGATAATTGATACTAACATTTTTCTGAGGTTAATTTTTGTATAATAATTTTTGGATCATTATTTAAATCATTTGATAAAATTGTTACAAAGGATATTTATAAATTATATTAAGATGACATAAAGATCGTTTGCTTTTATGTTTTTTAAGGAAATAAAACTCATCCAGGCACATTTAACATTTAGAAAGACACAATAAAGATCTTAGTTTCAAATCAAAATGTACGAATACAATTAGTGAATTGCTAACTTTTAGTTGGCACGCGAATAATAGATAACATTTTGTTGAGGTTAATTTTTTTATGATAATTATTAATTAATATTTGCATTATCCTGTAAATCTTAATACAAGTAGATATTTTATCGGATGTTATCGGATGTAGTAGAGAGATAAATCTCATTACATTTGAACAGCAAGAGATAGAAAAACGCCAGCAAATCTTTAAAGCTTTGATTCAATTTGAGTTTTTATTGTTTATTCTTTGTTTAAATTTAATCCAAAGTCTCAAACGACGATCTATAAATACCTCAGGGCATTTAACCGAGCCTCCCACTTTCAGTGACACCCTCTCGTTCTTCCGACACTCTTATTTTCTCATCTCTGCACCAATCTCTTTATTTAGATAAACGTAAATTGCTTTTCCGATCACTCTGATTTTTTCCGACATGTATTTTACCGGCCCCGTTGAATCTTCATCATCAGCCAACAATCTTAATGGCTCTGAGCCACGGGACGACGTGAGGCCCATCGGCTCCTCGCCAAGGACTGATCAGTATGTTGCGTTGTTAAGCGCTTACCTAGCCGATGCTGCTTCGTTGCGATCGCCGGCGACTGTTGTTGAACGTTCATCCCCCGCCTCGCCTTCTTTGCCGGCGGATGATTCTAGCCCTGTGGCCGAGGATTTGACCGACGATGGGTCATATTTACTCCATTTTCTGGTTTGGTTTCTTCTTCTTCTTTGGATTTATATAGCTTCTTTCAGTTTTAAAAGTGATGGAGTTTCAATGATTATATTTTCTCTGCAATTTTGATACTTGAAAACGTCACGACAAGTAATAACTTGAAGGTATTTTTTATTATTTACTTTTCAACTATTACAAGCTCGAAGGTAAGAGGGGGAAAAAAGACTATTGCGAATTTGTACAGTCTAATATTTGCTTAACTGATCTTTCTTTCCTAACGAGAAAGCTGAAACAGACGTAGTTCAATGGTTTCTTCTTGCCAATATATCTTTCTTTACTATGTGATCGTACTAGCTATTGGCTTAGGTTCACTGGGTAAAAATATTTGTTTATGGGTTTATTAATTTTTTTTAATATGCTATGCTCATGTTTTAATTAATTACCAATATTACAGGGTTTGGAAAGCCTACGTGCGTGTTCAGAGGGACAAGTTACTGATAATGCAGGAACAAGCACTGATGTCCCTACCGACCAGAAACCAACGATTCATAAGGATTCAGACGAATCTTTTAACGGCAGCCACCAGGATGACTCATTCAAAAATCCTAATAATGGCAGTTCAAGTCAAAGTGAAGTTGGAGCTATTCATTGTAATTATTCTGGGGGATCTCATCAAGATTGGAACATCCACAACACAAGTTTCAATCGCAAAGACCTGCACACGCCACCTTATAGAGGTACGTACGTACTTACAAGTTCTTTGATATGCAATTTGAATTTTCTAGCATAATCAAAACATATGGTAGTTCTGTATTATATTATGTTTATGTACTAATCCTAATCTGTTCTGTTCACTTACAGGATTCAATTATCGTGTTTTATATTATCCTGATCACGATCCCATTCACTTCAACCCATCAATAATGCCGTATTATCCAGTAAATGATCATATAGCTCCAAATCCTGATGATTTATGTGCTAAGATTGTAAGACAAATTGAGTACTATTTCAGGTACCATATTCAATCTCAGCATGTGCGTTTTGAGTTTTCTTCTTCTTGTTTTTTTGCCGTTTGTAAATTATGTAATCTGTCTTTTGCAGTTTCGATAATTTGATTAAAGACTCATACTTTCGACAACATATGGATCATCAAGGATGGGTTCCCATTCAGTTTATAGCTGCCCTTCCTGAGGTGATTTACGTTGTTCTCTGTAGCTATGTGTAGGTGTGTACGAGGATGGAGTGTTGTCTCGTGATTTTACCCTGATATATATGTGATCATTTATGTTATTATATAAGCATGTGTAAGGTTTATATGTTATTGGATATACCTGATCTGTTTCTGAAATAAGGTTGAAGCCTGTAATTAATACTCTTTTGGTCCTACATATAGGACCTTTTTCGTAGTGTAATTTACACTAGGAAAAGAGTTTTTTATTTAGGACCGGAGGAGTATAATGCAGGTTTTTCTTTTTTTCTTTTTTGTCACATGAATATTATACTCTTCCGGTTCTTATTATAAGACTCCATTTGACTTTTTATTTGGTCCTAATTATAAGACCCCAATCCATTTTGTCTCTTATATTTATGCATTTTTTTTCCAAGATAATCCTTCAAATAATGATAGTTTTAGCCAATATACTTAATTAGCAAGGATATTTTGGGAATGACAACACTTATTTATTATAAATAACCAACTTAACTTACTTCTTTAATCTCCTCAAATAAGTTAATTGGGTCTTATAATTAGAACCGGATGAGTATTATGTAATGTAATATTATTCAATGGCTGATGATAATTTTACATTTTGCAGATGAGAGAATTGACAAATAGTCCTCGACTGATAGTGGAAGCTCTTAGAACATCACTCGCGATGGAAATTTTGGTATTTTAATTTCCCTGCACTCGAGTTGGTTTTAAACGTCTATTTCAGCTCGTAGAGTTATACTGTAGAATTTGTGATTGAAAAAGATCTTCAATTGTCTACACATAAACTAAATTATTTACTATTTTTGAATTGACAGGATGATAAGAAAATAAGGCCACGTTACCAACAGGCCTGGGACCAGGTTTATTGAAAGAGAATAACCCTCACAGTATGACGAATCATGTGCTTAATCGATAAAAAAAACAAAGAGGACAGAGAGAGCTTACTGGGGAATTTTACCTAAATCATTTCGACCTCCTCCTAATTTTCGTTGCAGGCAATCATCTTTGATCGTTGGATTCGACGTAGAAATTACCTGTGAAGATGTGCGTTGCTTTAATTTAGTTCTTCTTTTTTTTAATGTTTTATACTACCTTCTATTTTAATATAAGAACTCGTTTGATTTTTATTTTATCCTAAATATAAAATCTTAATTCATTTTATTTCTCATATTTATTTATTTTTTTAATATAACCATTGTAATAATATATTTTTTAAAAAATAATATTTATTTATTACAAATAACTAATATAATTAATTTTTTTAATATACTTAAATCAGTTAATTAATTTTTATATTAAGTATCGGAACTAATATTATTTTAGGTGTTTTAAAGGAGAAAAGTATAAAGAAAAAACCTCAAGCCGGCGTATTGATTTGGACTTGTACTTTCCCTGTGCGTGTTGGCCTCTTCTGGGCTTGCTGTCTTCCAATCATCTCCTGGGGGCCTGAACTTATTCTTCATCTGTCTTTTATTATAAGATTTAATTTTTTAAATAAGTTTATTTTTGAAAAAATTTCAGAAAAAGCCCTTAAAATATAAAAAATTTAGATTAGGTCCTGAAATTTTGTAAATGACAGAAAGGATCACTGACCCAATCTGTCATTTGTGAAATTAAGATAATTGACAATTTTGCTTCTGACTAAACAAAATGAGTAGTTATTCTCTAAACAAATCTAGGTAACGCTTACACTGTTCTAGTGATTATAAGATTAGTTATAGTTAATAATAAGGTACCTGACTATGAAAAAGTGAGTAGTTATTCTCTACATGAATCTAGGTAATGCTTACATTATTCTAGTGATTACAAAATTAGTTGTAGTTAATAACAAGACACATGACTATGAAAAAGTAAAGTTATTCGCTACACGAATCTAGGTAACACCTAAACCCTTATAGTGATTCCGAATGAATACAAATGAGGGCAAAGTTGTCAATTCTTCTTGAATTCACAAATGACAAATTGGGCCACTGACTCTTTTTGTCATTTACGAAATTCCAGGACCCAATCTGGAATTTCTTATATTCCAATGACTTTTTTTGGGATTTTCCTTTTATTTTGTTATAAGATATTTTTTGAATTTGTCTGAACATTTAATATACTATTACCTATTTTACTCCTAGTTTAATGCGTTTAATGCATTTAATACATTCTTTTTCTTCATTTATCTCACTATTACTTTCTTATATCTATTCATTTATATATAAGGGTATATTTAGAAAAAATTATATTTGCTACATATTAATTGCTTTTAACTAATTTAACTATTTTTTTTAAGTCGTGTGATTTGGTTAAAAAGATCTTATAATAAGGGACGATGTGGTATAAGTGAAGGGAAGCAATTACAGGGTGCTCTTTTCTTTTCTTTTTAAAAAATACTCCTCGGTCCTTAATATAAGACCCATTTAACTAATTTGATTAGATTAAAAAAGTTAGGTAAATTAGTAATTATAAGAAAAGTGACACATTTTTCTTAATGAACAGAATTCATATGTAAACAACCAAAAAAAAAAAGTGAATTCATATATGATACTTTTTCTTGATCATAATATATTGATATTTAGAATCATCAACAATAAAGTGATTAGGAAATCACTGACCTCGACTTTAAAATAAAAAAACTTTTCTTATGTTAAATTAAAGCAAAGTTTTAAACATTGATTGCTAGGTAGTATTTTAAAGTTGGGATAATTAATCCACAGCTCCTTATAGTTTCAACTAATTTTAAATTAGGTCCTTATAGTTTTTTTTCTTTTTATCAGGTTCTTATACTTTTACCTGTTTTTAATTAGGTCATTGTATTTATTTTTCTTTTTATCAAGTCCTTATAAGTTCACCTTATTTTAATCAAGTCCCTGAATTTTTATTCTTTATTTTATAAAATTCTAATAGTACTATTGTATAAACATAAAATAGTATATATTATTTAATATTAGTTTATAAACATAATATTCTAAAGATATTGAATTATTATAATGATTTTAATTTTTTCAGCAAAAAAATTAATTGTTCTAAAAAATTCCTAAATTAATTAATTCTATTACTTTTTTATTACATAATTATTAATTTAATTTAATTATTAATATTTTATATTTCAGTATTAATCTATTAATTAAGCTTATATTGAATTAATAAATAAAAATTAAAACTACATGGACCTGATAAAAATTTAATGAAATTATAAGGACTTAATTAAAAAATAAATAAATACAAGGACCTAATTAAAAAAACGTTAAAAGTAAAGGACCTAATAAAAAGAAAAAAAACTATGGGACCTGATTCAAAATTCGTGAAACTATAAGAACTTGCGGATTATTAACCTTTAAAGTTTTAGACAAAAGTTGTGACTAAAATCAACAATTACTTTACTTAAAAATTAATAATAACTTTAATTATATAAAATAATAGTAAAATTTGTCACCTCTTTTCCAATAATTCTAGCTACAGGCAATCATGATCTGGCCACAGAAAAAAAAAAATTACACGCAACATGTTAATTTCGTAAAAAAATTAACATAATAAAAATTCTTAAATTCTTCAAAAGAGTGAGGTCACCGTCACCTCATAATCCGACTTTATGATAAGTCTGTTTTAGAGGTTTTTTATTTGTCACTCTCTCTTAAATAACGTAGGCGAGCTTGTTTTGAAAATTGAAATAGTCAAATGTTAAATATCAAATAATCAAATAAATCTTAAAATATAAAAAAAAGTCAATTTTTTTATCCTTTTATTTTTCAAGAGTGTTTTTGTTTAAATTTATTAGTGTTTTAAAATTTAAAAATAAAATATCGGTCAAGACAGCATTTTTATACGCATTGGGCAATCAGCAAAACGAAAGGAGCCTGCAAACGGGAGGCAGCCAGTCGTGTTTTTCACGAGAAAAAGCTCATCCCCATTAGCCATTTTCGTCAATCTGGACGCAAGAAGAGCTGAAAAGCTCCAAGACGATTCAAAGAAACCCAAAGCAGCGTTATGAGTTTTCCCAGTTATCCAATGCCTTTTCCTCCGCTTAACTTTTGAGCTCGTCCACAATGGCCGATGATCTTTCTTCCTCCGCCAAGGTTGGTTTAGTTTCACCTTGTTTCTTATTATCCCTTTACATGGAACCTCTAATTTTTTCTCTTGTGATTACTATCTCCTTTTTTCTTTTTTCATGAGGTGGCATTTGAGATTGTCCGATCCGCTTGTTGGAATACCTGAACGAATGTTTGCCATTGGAAGCTCCGCTGCCATGTTATCGGCAAGCAAGCTACTTGATATCCGATGACGGAAATCTTATTTGCTGTTGGCCATGATTTTCTTTTCTTTTTCATTAGATTCCTTCCAAATAATTTCTTTCAAATTCGTTTCTTGGACATCGAAATACTTTCAATGGCATTTGATTCTACCTGCTGACGCCCATCCAACAATACGTTGAGTTGGGTATTATTTGTTTATTTGGAACTGCTAAGTCACACCTCAAATATGGCTTCTAAGCCGGGTGACGGTTAACTGGCATCAAATTCTGGATGGAAATGGGATAGGACGTAGTTTACCAGTATTTCAGTGGTAGACGGACTGAACTGAAGAAATAGCATGTAAAAGACTAAACCTTGGACGTAGTACTTTCACGTTAGGAATAAGAACATAGTCTTTCTCGTATTTGATTCCCGGCCATTTACCTTCTCTGATTGATTAGTTCCCCGAACCTGTTTGTTATGCAGAGCATTTTCACTTGTATATATATTTTGAGTTTCTCACCCTCCTCACTTTTTATCGAGAATCTCCAAATGCGTCTAATGATGTGGTAGAGATCTTCATAGGATTATCCAGAATCTTAATCATTGGTGTTATGAACCGAATGATGACAGGATGTCTTCCTTGCAAAGGCTTCAAAGAATTCTACTTTGGTGGGGAAGATGACCGTATTGGTCTTTGCAATGATCTGCGGAGTCTATATATGTTCTATTTGTCTAAAGCAGGTAAGCATGCCCACTAAGATCGGATTTTTGGATATAAAGGTCGTCAACGAGACATGCCCTGAACCCAAGATTGAACCTTGGGAAATGCCTTACGTGCATTACCCAAAACCCAAAACTTACAGCAGGTAAAATACTGCTTAAATTGAGTGTTGGCTTTAGAATCTGTTTAAATCTTAGTGATATTGCTTTCTTTTTTGCCTCATTTTAGGGCCGAATGTGCTTGCAATCCTGTGAGGTATTTTGCCCTGTTGTCAATGCAGAGATCTGGAAGTGGATGGTTTGAGACTTTTTTAAATAATCATACTAACATAAGCTCAAATGGGGAAATTTTCTCCGTCAAAGTGAGGAGGAGTAATATTTCAACCATCGTGGAGACTCTGGATAAAGTTTATAATCTAGACTGGTTAAGTAGCGCGTCAAAAAATGAATGCACAGCTGCAGTTGGCTTAAAGTGGATGCTGAATCAGGTAATGTCTCTTTTATTTAGCAACATCTTTTTCTTTTGAAATAAATGTTTGTCTAGTTTAACTGTCATCTTTGTAAAATTTTCTACTCATATATAGATCAAAGAGGGGATGAATTCTTTTCTAGTATAGGAAGACATTGGATATTGCAAAAATTTTCCTCTGTTTGTGGACGGTTAGAAAGTCTAGCATCTACGAATAAAGTGTATTGAACTTGTAGCTAACGCGAGATGTCGATGATATTGTCTCCCATTTGGGCATCTGAATGTTAGAAAAAACGTTTGGAGTCAGTATAATGATTTAATGATTTGAAAGACATGTGGTTTTCAGCTCAGTTCAACCGCTACTTAATGGTGACTAGTATTCTGACCTGATTTGTAACTCTCCCTTGGTTTCCCAAGTCCTCTTTCTTCTAAATTCAGTAAAAGCTGACATGACATGTACGTCTGCCTCATTGAAAGGTTTAACATAACCT